ATAAACATAGGGGTGTTTCACCTATGCCTTTTTGACCTTTGAGAAGCTTTTTTCTTTGGATAAATTCCAAGGAGTGGGATTCCTGGGTCAAATGGTACTTCTATTTTTAGTTTTTTGAGGAACCTCCATACTGCTTTCTACAATGGTTGAACTAGCTTACATTCCCACCAGCAGTGTAGGAGGGTTGCCCTTTCTCCACATCCTCGCCAGTATTTGTTGTTGTTAGTCTTTTTCGATGCTGGCCATCCTTACTGGTGCGAGGTGATATCTAATTGTGGTTTTAATTTGCATTTCCCTGATGATTAGTGATGTGGAGCATCTTTTCATGTGCCTGTTGACCATCTGAATTTCTTCTTTGGAGAACTGTCTCTTCATATCCTCCACCAATTTTTTAATAGGGTGTATGTCAATCCTATATTCTGCCACTTTGTTGAATTTATTAGCTGTAAAAATTTTTTGTAGAATAGTTTGGGTTTTCTATTCACAAGACCATGTCATCTGTAAATAGAGACAGCTCTGTCTTCCTTTCCAGTTTGGATGCTGTTTATGTCCTGTTCTTGCCTATGTGCTCCAGTTAGAAGAGCCCCAGGGCCATGCTGGACGCAGCACAAAAAGCCCTTGTCCGGCCCTCAAGAGAGGGGCGGCGGTCAGTCTTTCACCTCTGAGTGTGACATGGCTGCCTTGTCTGAGGTCCCGGAGGCTGCCTTCCATGCCAGTTGCTGAGTATATTTTCCTCTGCTTGTATCATGGTGGTGTTTGTCATGTTCTTTTCCTGCAGCTGTTTAGAAATCTTACATTTTTGTCTGGACACGTTACTGCTCACAGAGCCCGGGCAGTATGAATCCGAGAGCACAGGGGTCTTGGATTCTGAAGGAGTGGTGGCCCTGTGCTGACATTTACTGCCAGTTTTAGAAGGATGGTAAGAGAATATGTGCAAACTTCTAAAACATCTGACACAAGGTGGGCCATCAGAGCATTAGCTGCTGCTGTTCTAGCATGTGTTCAGCCAGCAGCTGTGAGGCTCATTCTGAAATGGTGGTGATCATGGCCATCCTGGCTGACCTGGGGGCTGTGAGGCAGCCGCTGCTCTGTGCCAGTGCTTCCACCACCAGACGCCTGTGGGAATGGAAGAGCTGGTGGTGGTAGTGAGGGTTACCGCGGGTGTGAGGTGGGCTGGTGTCTGCTGAATTCACCCAGGTGACCACAGCGAGCCTGGGCCTGCTGTGTACTCCAGGGGTGCACATGCACCTATGTCCTAGTCCTGTTAGCCCCACTTTACAGAGGTACACTGAGGTGCAGGGGAGGCGGGCACCTGCCCAAGGCCGGCTCAGGGTTCACAGGCGAGTGCAGGTCCCTCTCCCCACCAGGACCTGTGCTAGAGGGCTTGCTCAGCCTCCCTGCCTAGGGTGAGCAAGCATGGGGAGGAAGGTTTCGGCTGTGCAGGGTCTTCGCTGGGGAGGGACTGGTTGTCAGGGATTGTGCTTCACGACTGGTAGGGACAGTCGTCGGAAGGACCCTCCTCTGGGGAGCTGCCTGGGGCAGGGCAGAAGGTCCATCTGTGGGCCCTGTTCTGTCTGCGCAGGCGTTTTGGACGTTGTGCCTTGGGCACCTTGCTGGCCGGTGGCACAGCAGGGCCCTGTGCAGCTGGGCAGCCTGCTCCCGTGCAGGACCTCACATGTGCCCTTAGGTCTCTGCGGGGCAGGGAGTGGGCCAGCCAGAGCTGGAAGCGTGGGCCAGGCTGCTGCCAGGTCACCCTCAGGGAGGAACCTCAGGCTGGCCGCTTGGCCATGAGAACGCCTGGGCAGCTCTGGGCCAGGGCGTGGGGATGGGCAGGTCTGGGAGGCCAGGCTGCGTGCCCAGAGGAGGGCCAGGGCCAGGGCAGGTGGTGGGCAGGGCGGCTGTCACTGTGGGACATGTGGAGGCCCTGCCCGCCCTGGCACCAGCTTTCTCAGGCACATAGCCTTGCCTTGGTTGTGTAAGTGCGGTTTGCGCAGCCACCCCTGCCCTGCGGTGCCCTGGCACTGCCCCGCCCCGGGTTCCTGCCCCGGTTGGCTCCCACGCTGCGTGGGCTGAGCGCCAGTGTCTGAAGCGGGGAGCTGCGGGTGGCATAGGGGCAGGGGCAGCCCGAACCCGGAGATGCGCGCTGCTGTCTTAGGGCCGCAGGCGCAGACCCTGAGGAGTTCAGGCCCTCCCGCCCCTCCGCGCTGCCTCAGGAGTGCTCCCCTCTATTGACCCTCGCGCACCCAGTCAGCAACCGCTTGGTTCCTCCCCAGAAAGTTCTTCAGCCCGTCGACCTCTTCTCAGGTTGTCCAGGAGTGGCCCCACCCCATGCAGCCCCTCCGCAGTTCTCACCTGCCCGCAGAGCGTGCTCGCCGCTCACTCTCCGTCCTGTCGCAGAGCGTGCTCGCCGCTCACTCTCCGTCCTGTCGCAGACGCTCCAGGGGCCTCCTGCTGCTCACAGGTCTCACCTGAGCCCTGGGGCTAGCGAGGCTCTCCTGGCACCCTCATGCCCAGGTGTCTGAGCCGGGTGGACACTTGGCCCTCCGGAAGGTCTGCCAGGTAGGAGTGCACACTCGCTGGTCCCTCCCTCTGTCCCTCACCATGCGGGGGATGGGGGGGCCAGGACCAGGGTCTTTATTATCACAGGGCCTTTGCACCTGCTGTTCCTTTTGCTGAGAGTTGCGTCTCTCTCGCCCATCAGTAAATCAAGCTTAACTGACCCAGAGGCCCAGCATCCAGCTGTCTTCTCGGTGGGGGTATGTCACAGTCTGGGGGCTGCCACTGAGGTTTAGGGGCAACGCAAGAGCAGAGAAGGCAGCGGGAGTCATCATGGCGGGCGCTCGAAAGAGGCCACTTTATTCTGCATAGAGCTGTACTTCTTATACTGCTATACTGCTGATGGATGGTTACGTTAAGTATTGAAGATGTGCATGCGTGTGGCCTGCATGGCCAGGTGTCTGGCCTTCAAGGCCCTTATCTAGCTCCTTTCTCGTGGGTACAACACGCTGTGTTTGCAGGTTCCTCATATCCGGGGTGAAGCAGCGGACAGCTGTCCTCAGGGAACAGTAGGGAAGGTTGGGGGAGCCGTTCCTACAGGGTACATCTCTGCCCCCACCTTCTCTCTCACCACGGCTCCTGGGAAGAGGCTTGTGGGCCACCTGTGTCCAGGGCCTGTGAGCACTGGCCAGTGCAGGCCCTTGGCAGGCCTTCTGGGCCTGGGGAGAGATGGCGAGCCCACGTGGGATCAGGTGCTGGCGTGGGGCAGTGCCGGGCCTTGCCCATCTGCCTCCAGAGCCGCTGCCATTGCAGGAGGACGAACACTGTCTCGGGAAGATCTGGGGACAGGTTGGCGTGGGGCCCTGGCAGCCGTCCTCAGGGTCTTGTCCCTCTGGTCTCATGGGGTTGTGTCGGGCCATGCCAGCCTTCCCACAGCGAACCTAGAGTCCCTGAGGTGCACCCCCGGGGCTGCCCCCCTCAGCCTCTCCTCTGTGGGAGGGACTCAGGCCCCCTGCTGTCCCGGCAGCCCCCTCCTCATGGACCGCTCTTCCTGTCTTGCCCTTGACTCAGCTCCTGACCCAGCTCCTTGAAGGAGGCTGCGGATAAAGTGAAGGTTCCTGTGGCCAGGATTCTCCCCTGGCCCTTGTTGGCTAGCTCACTGCACACGTGTGGGCATGACGTCGTTATTGACTCTATAAAGAGCTCTGTCCAGTGCTCTGGGCGACATGGTGGCATGTCTGCAGGAGAGTAGAGGCGAGACTGGAGTGGTGTCAGTGCCAAGGACAGAGACTGGGATGGCTGCAGGGGCAGAGACTGGCTTGCTGCACACAGACTCACTCTGAGAGGACGGGATTCTAGTGACTGACCAGCTACCGTGGGAATAAAGTTGGGTATAACCCTTTCACCCCAAGAACATTCCACTGTTATTTCTTTGGTTTAATTGATTCCATAGTGAACTTGTCCATAGCTGAAACCCATTGGCAAGACAGAGGCGTATTGGCTTGAGCCAGGTCCTCGTTTAGCAAAACACAGTCACAAGTACCAACAGCATGCCTCCTGGGGGGTGGGTCTGAAGGGACCCAGCTAAGGGGGAGCCTTTCTGTCTTGCCAATGGGTTTCAGCCTTGGGTAAGTTCACAATGGATTCAATATGACCAAAGAAATCGACAGCAAAACATTCTTGGGGTCAAAGGATTATCCCCAACTTTATTTCCAGGTGGCAGGTCAGTCACTAGAATCCCGTTCACTCAGAGCAAGTCTGTATGCAGCAAGCCAGTCTCTGCCTCTGGGCCTCTGCACAGTCATCCCGCACAGCCGTCCTCTGGGCCTCTGTCCTCGGCGCTGCCACCGCTCCAGCCTCTGCTCTGCTCTCCTGCAGCCTTGCAGCGCTGCTACCGCGTCGCACCCAGAGCACTGGGCGGAGCTCTTTATATAGAGTCAACAGCCACGTATTGCCCACAGGTGTGCAGTGAGCTGTTCAGCCACGGCCAGGTGAGATTCCTGGCCACAGGAACTCTCACTTTATCCACACGTTCCCACCTAACAGGTGCACAAGCCTGTTCTAACTGGTGGCTTCGCAGGGGATCTGAGTGATTCGGAGAGGGAGGCGTGGCTACTGAACTGGGAGCAGCTGGTCAGTCCCACCCTGCTCCTCGTTTCTTCCACCTTTGAGCCAGAGGCCACTGCACTCACCTGCGGGGAGTCGCTTGGGGCATCACCCTGAAGGCCCAGCTGCAGTGCATCAAGGAAGAAAGCTTCCCATCGTCTGTCCTCCAGGTGGGGAGAGGAGAGCCAAGAGGGAGTGAGATGGAAACAGCTGGAAGGCGGGCCTACACTTCACCCTGTACCCAGGGAGTTGGCTTCCGCCCTGATGGTGAGGACGTGCCCTGAATGATCCATGGGGTCCCCATGCCCATGGGCGAAGGCAGCACTGTGTCTTGGACCTGCTTTGCACCAAGTGACCCCAGAAAGCCACCTGCAGGCCTGCTGCTCTGCCCAGCAGCCCACCTGGGTGCGTTGCGGGTCACCCCACTAGTGTGGCTGGCCCTGTGCTGGCAGCAGTCTCCATGGCATTAAACAGTCTGCACTCCGGAGGCACGCTTGACCTTTGCCCAGGCATCAGGCAGTTGCCACACCCAAGTCTGGAGTTCAGAGGCTCCCTGAGTGCCCAGCAGGGTGGTGGCAGGTGGGCTCTGCCCTCCAGTACCTGCAGTCTGCTGTCCCCTCAGAAACTGCCAGTGACTGGGGTGCTGAGGGGACCTGTGCTTCCTCAGCTGGCCCTGTGTGGTGGGCTGAGCGGCACCCCCGTTCCACCACCTCTGCCATCCATGCGGCCAGGGCGGGCTTGTGGCCAGGGCCTCCTCTCTGGGTGAGGCCTGAGTCCGTGTGTCCCACGTGTGTGGGTCGTGCTGTTAGGGCAGAAGCTCCCAGGGTTGGCCTCTTACTGAGAAACTTGGTTGTTGCCGGTGCAAGGCCCCGCTGCGGGTTGCCCAGCCTCCGGGGTCCTCTCCCACTGCCAGCGGCCCTGGCACTCACTCCTCCACTGGCTGTGTGGAGCCCACTTGGGGCTGGCACTGCCAATTCACCACTGGAGCCGTCTCTGTGCTGCAGCGAAGGAGCCCTGCGGGGCTGGGTCCCACACGGACAGCTCCTCCCCACCCCTACCCGGCTGCTCAGGGGGGCCACGGAGCCAGAGCGCTGCTCTTCCTCCCTGCCATGGGGCTTTTGGAGTACTTACCCCATGACCTGTGGGTGCCCTCTGGCCACACCCCCATTCATGCCCCCCTGCAGACACTCAGCTAGGACTCATGGAACCCCATTTTTTCCTTGTTTACTGCAACTCTTGTGATTTTTGGCTTAGAACCTGTTTCTGTGAGTGAGGCTATAAATCCTGTGGCTTGTTGTGATGTCAGAGCTGCCTAGCACTAGACAGGTGCCTGGAGGAACTTTGAGGCCTGGCCAAGCACTGCCTGGGCACCCAGCCAGCCCTGTGCTCCAGAGCCTGCCTCCACTGGGCGCTGGGAGGTGGGGGGACTGGCAAGTCCTGAGCCATCACAGAACCCTCAGGCCATGGCTGGTCACCTGTCCTCTTGAGAAGCTAGTTTGGAGAAAAACTGTGCTGTTTTGTCATGAATGCCTTTCTCCTTATTACCAAACTAATGCATTTTTATTTTTCCAGTGTTTTCTTATGAAAATGTTCACACAGAAAAGCTGAAAGAGCTTCATTGATGGCCCTCCCACTCTGCTCCTTACCCACCTTCATCTCTTGGCCTTTGCTAACATACACAAATTCTAGAATAAAATGAGAAAATGGTGAGCCAAAGAGGTGAAAATATTTACAAGGTTACAATACCTGTGGTTACTCCTGCTTCTCTGCTTTGAAGCCTTGACTTTTAATTTGTTTCTATCATTGTGGAAAATATGTTTTAAAACTGTGCACGTTGCTGAACTGTAAATTTCTATATAATTGTAGTAGCAAAATAAAATGTTAAAGCAGGGGAAATGTGCGTGACCCTGGCCATGGAGGTCTCCACGGCTCCCGGCATCCGCCCTGAGGAGCCTGGGGTGCTTGCCTGGGCACACTGCGCCTGTCTGTGCATGTGAGGATGTTCCTTTAGACGGCGGGGTCCCGGGACTGGCCGCTCCTGGCAGAGCAGGGGGACAAAGCGAGCTTTGAAACAGCAGGGCTGCGTGGGCTGCAGGAGAAAGTGCGCAGGCCCTGGGCCCTGCACCTTGTGGTGCAGCAGGAAGTCCCCACATTTTATGGGAGCATCAGATCATGAGTCTGCAACCTGAGAAGTTTCCCAAAACAACTCCTCGGTGGTGGGGAAGGTGGGGAAGTGTTGCAGTGGCCAAAGCAGCTGCCCTGGGCCCTCGCCAGTGCTGGGGGCTGTAGGCTGCTCCCTCTTGCCCTTGCCCTGCCTTCTCAGGACGGCCTGGTGGTCTTGGGTGTTGCCCCACCTGGTTGCTTCTCTTCAAGAGGCTGGAGAGGCAGGCAGGGGGTGTGGACCAAAGTTGTCTTGATCATGCCCAGGAACAGCTGCAGGAATGGGCGTGGCTCCTGCAGGGGCCTAGGGGGCGTGTTCTGGTCCCCAGGAGACAGACCTCTGAGGCGAAGCTCTTTGAAGATGAGATGCTACTGAAGTGTTTTCTTGTCTCAATAGGAAAACCTTAGTCGTGAGTTCCTGCTCATCCCAGCGCCCAGCTGATGGGGTGTTCCGTGTGCTCCACCCATGGGACTCCACCCAGAGACAGACAAGCCTGCTCAAGCCCCTTCCAGGGCTGTTTCAGCTCCAGCGGGTCAGCCGGTGCTGGCCGTCACTGGTACCCGCCTGTGGGTACACTCACGTGTGCTTCTCTGCTGACCGCGCCTGGACTCTGAGTTCTGGCCATCATGACAGAAGCTGCACGGAATGTTCCCTCCCGGGCACTGTGTGGACACCAGCGTCCTTCCCAGGGCCTGGGGTGGGACAGCTGGGTCCGGTCGAGCAGTTTTCCAAAATGGCCATGTGTGCACATGCACGTGTGTGGAGTTGCGGGCGGCCTGTGGAGTCAGCCGAGCGGGGCAGGTGGGGGTCTCATGGTGGCTTTTAGGTGCATTGCCCTGAGGATTGAAGACAGTGGGTATCTTCACAGCTGCTTATTTTCATATTTTCTTTTGCAATTTTTTCCATTTAAAAAATTGGGCTCCTCGCCCCTTTCTCACTGAGTTGTAGGAGTTTTTATATTCTGCGTGCAGGCCTCTGTCAGCATGGGCACTGTGGACGCTATGGGTTTGTGCTTTTGCACTTTCTCCGTGAAAAAGTGCCTCTGCATGGACAGAAAAGCTTAATTAATCAGCTGTTCAGTTTATCAAACTTTTCTTAAAAAACGAACCGTCTTGTGCTCTCTTTAAGCCCTTCATCAGGAGCGTGACTCGTGAACTTGCTCCCAGTCTGTCTTGCATTTTCTCTCTTAACAGGGTCTCCTGAAGGTCAGAAGATTTCATACTGGCGAAGCCCAGTAGATCAGTTTTTGAAACGGGTTGTGCTTTTGGTGTCATGTGCAGGAAATCTTTGTCCAACTTGAGAAACAGATACTTTCAGGTGTTTTCTCAGTTTTCAGCCCTACTTGGTCTAGGCCTGTGGGTGTTTTGTTCCAGCACCTGGGTTGGCTTTGGGCCATGTGAGCCGGGCCAGGAGTCCTTTTTGTGCACAGGTGCTGTTGCCCACTGTCGCCCATGCTCTTGTCCGTGTAGGTCTGTCTCTGCCTCTGCCTCTGCCCTGTGCCAACACGTGCTGCCCTGGTTGGGGTGGCTTCACGCTTCAGTTAGGGAACGTTCATCGCCCAGCTTTCTTCACTTTCGATGGGTATGGCTTTGTCACTAACAAAGGACACGCAGGCTTGTTATTTTGCCAGGAGGCAGAGCAGAGCGGGTAGAACCTAAATGGAAGGGGAGTCCTGTTAGTCCTACCCTGGCGCGCAGGCCACATGGCAGCCTGAGTGGGGGCTGTTCTCCAGATGAGGCCACGTGGCCCAGCTCAGGAAGGCACCGGGAGGACGCACCAGGACTTCGGCTCACCCGGCCGCCTGTCTGAAAGGCCACTCTTGGCTGGGCAGGTGCAGAGCATAGGGGTGGCCTTGGTGCTCTCTGCCCAAAGTCCTTCCTTCTGCTTCTGGGATGTTGTGACTGGCCCTGTGAATGGGCCCTAGCCTAGTCACAACCATGCCTGTGTCAGAGGATGAGTGTGCAGCCTGGGAGGCCCTGTCCAGGGAGGAGAAAGGGGGCTGGGGGACAGGAGGCGCGGGGAAGCAGCCCCATCATCTCACAGAGCCATGCCTCATGGATTCTCCCAGATGAGTCCCTGAGAAGATGCGCTTATGGGGCTGTGGTGACCCTGGCATCATGTCTACAGACGCTTTGGAGTTATGTTTTTCTGTGTGTTTAAAACGGACCTTGTCTACCCCAAGCTCAATGGACAGTCCACCTGCTGCGGAACAAGGATAAATAGTGTCCCCAGTGATAAAGGGCTCAAAACGCTTGTGGGTGTGCGGGTGGGACCCTGGGACCCTGCTCTGCCCTCCTAGGCTCCTGAGGGGACAGCGGCTTGGGCAAGTGTGCCACCCAGGCCCTGGCATGTAGATGCATCCTGTCCCTTCAGCACTAACATCTGTGTAACATATTATTAGCTCAGAAACTAAAAAAAGAGGCAGAAAACTTCATCAAGAGCTACTCTATTTTAGATGGTTGCCGAGAAAAAAAAGGCAGTTTCAAGACAGCCGTTGGGTTGTTCCAGGGCCACGTCCACTGCCCGGAGATGGGGATGCTGAAGAGGGGAGTCCTGCCCCGGGACGTGGCTGTCGCCTGCACAGTGTGTGGCCACTGGTTCAGACCTCGTGGGGAGGGTGCCCTAAAGAGTCCTACGCCTCTGAGGGAGGTGCCACAGGTGCATCGCTGTGTCTGCCCTCCTGACGGAGCTCTGGGCCTCGGGTGGCCCTGCTTGTCCCGAGTCCTCGTCTCTGTGCCCCATGCTTGAGGCTTTACCACCATCCCCTGCCTCCAACCGTGAATGCCTGCGTGTTTTCTGTAGTTCAAAGGCTCAAGGTGGTATGATGCAAGTGGCTAATTCGAACTTCCCAGGAGAAGGTTCCAGCGGCTGCAGGGGACTCTGTGCGCCCTCCATCCCCTCAGCATGAGCCGCTCATCTGGGCAGCAGGGGCCGGCCGGGCCTGCAAGGAGCCATGGGGTGTGTGCACAAGCTGCTGAGGCCCTGGAGACACATGGGGCCTCTTGGGACAGCTGCCTGCCATCCTGCGTGGGGGCAGCCGCGGCTGCCGTACATGGCGGGCCACTAATGAGCTGTCACACGCCTGGTGACACAGGAGGAACGAGGATAGAGGCGAGCTGCTGACAAGTGGGCTGCCGAACCCTGCAGGGCGGTTGTTCAGCTGCATCCAGAGGCTGCTGGTGGCCAGCACATCGTCGTGTCCAACTTCCTGGTGAAGCACTCAATCCGCTGCCATAACGGTGCTGTGCAGAAACCTGAGAGAGCCCCGTGGCAGCGGCCCGGGTCTGGGAAAGGCAGTGGGCCTCACACCTTGCCTGTGGTGACTTCCTCGGTCTTTCCATGTGGGTGGTCAGGGAGCCAGGCCCACACCAGGACAGGCTGGTCCAGACGAATGGAGGACGTGTGTCCCCTGCAGGGGGGACCTGTGGAGGCCGCACTGGGCCCACCTTTGTAGGTGTCCACCTTGTTACTCTGTCCTGGTGACAGGAACCGCCACACAGCTCTGGAGGCCAGATCTGGGAGCAGGGAGTCAGCAGGCCGCATGCCCTCTGAGCCTCTGGGGAATGTCCCTGGTCTCCTGTCTGTAAACAACGCAGTCGGGTGGAGCCTGCTGGCTGGCAACCGACCTGCGCTGCGGGAGGGGCGGATGAAGCCTGGATGAATAGGTAAATTTCTGGTCTGCAGAGGGGTCTGGATGAAGGGAAGTCAGGGTCTGGCGGTCACCGTTACCTTGTGGAATGGTGGGCCTGCATGATGGACGCCCTGGTCTCCTGTGAGGGGTGGCACCAAGTCACAGCCACACACAGTGGACCCCACACTGACCACCTGCACCTTATGGTACAAACACGCCGCCCACAGTAGGGGCCCAAAAACAGATGGAAACGTGGGGGGACGCCCACATGGGAGCGGGTGGTAGTCCAGCTCAGAGACCCCAGCCACCCAGACCTTGAGGGGCACTGGCTCTGAGATCTGCCTTGGCCATGATTAGTGGGGAGCTGGCATTGCTCCCAGGGGTGACGGGCAGGTAGGGGCAGGTGGGAGCCTCAGCTGTGGCGGTCTGTCCACACCTGGGCCACCCGGCAGCCGTGTGGGGCTGTCATTAACAGGACCCTGAAGTGCACCTGGGCCCGGCAGCTTAGAGTGCTGCGGACACATCTGCACCGGGCCAGCTGGGGGCAGTGAGGGTGCACGAGCTAGTATTCCAGGGGGTGGTGTCCTTGCATGGCGGTCGGCGAGGGAGCGCCCTGGGGTCTCCTTCTGAGGCCCTGACCCCCTCACACAGCACTACCTCTGTTCCACTCAGGAGAATTGGGAGGCTGGGCCTCCCACCAGCCATTCTGGACACTCTGTTGCCGGCCATCTGGTGGGAGCTGCATGGGACATGCGGCTGCTGCAGAGCAGTGTGTAGCTGGCTAGAGAGCCTGTGCTTCCTGGGGGCTGAAGAAAGGCCGGTGGGGGGTTGCCCTCGCGGGCACCACCCTCTGGGTGCTGTCTCCCAGCAGTGAGTCCTTCCCCTGGAAGAGGCCAGAGGGGTATGGACGCTGGGACCATGCAGGCCCCCTGAGGCCCTGCGGTGGCAAGTGAGTCTGCACGTGTTGGGAGCGCAGGCCTGGAATCGCTGTGGCCTGGAGGAAGGAGCTGGCACATGCGGAGGGGTCCTGTGCGCTGGCTGCCCCCACTCCCCAAGACCCCTCACCTCGAACACAAGGAAGCCAGCTGCTGGTCTCCACGTGCTGATGTGCAAATGGCCAGGGAGGCCCTGGCTGAACGCCCGTCCCGTCTCCCGGAAGAGGCCACCTCCTGGCTCCCGGGAGCCTCTCCCGCGGGGTCTGCTGGGCCGTCTGGCCTCCTGCCGGCAGGTACGACTTGCAGCTGTTCACGAAGACGACGGCCCTAGGGCGACCTCTGGCGGACCCAGCGAGAGCTGCGTTCACAAAGCCGTAGGCTCGCGGCTGCTCCAGAGCGCGGCTCTGCGCGGCCGGCGACCGGCGGCCGGTCGGCCAACTCGGACCAGAGTGAGCGCGGCCCCCCGAGAGGCTGAAATCCCCGTGCCCCTGTCCTCCCCTCCCCGGGCGGTGCAGGTGGGACGCTGGCACGGCCCTGGAGGCCACCTTTCCCCTCCCGCGTTCAGACTGCCAGCCTGGAGGGGCACCTCAGGTGTTGGGGGCGGCTTGACCGCCAAGGGGTCCCAGACCTTCAAGGCCAGCGTCATTGCAGGAGCAGCTGCATCCACTGAAGCAGGCAAGCGCCTTCCCTGGGCCGCGCAGCTGCCTAGTTGGCAGGCTGATGCCCATCAGGGTGGAGTGGGGCCGCCTGACCTGAAGGGACAGTCCTGGAGGGGCCGTGGAGGAAGGTCAGGGATGTGTGCTTCTGGGCTGTGAGGGGCTCAGGGCCCCAGGCACCCTCTGCTGTGCCTTCCCTGCAGGGCTGCTCCTGGCTGTGACCGGGAGCCTCCCCAGTTGCCACCACCACTCAGCACCCATTCCCCCTCCATCAGCCCCAAACCAGTTAGGCCCCTTGCCCGGTCTCTGCTGCTTAGGCTGCACACAGTGGGGTCTAGTGCTGACACCCAGCTCTGCACCCACTAGGACAAGGCACCCACCCCTACCCCTTGGTCCCGTCTGTGGTAGCAGGTCCTCAAGCAAGGGGAAGGGGCTCCCACATGAAGCACCGAGGCAGGGGGCAGTGGTCCTTCCCGTGGCTCCTGCTTTCTAACAGCCTCTCTGGTTCCAGGTGAAGACAATGTAGTCACTAAGGTTCTCTTTTTAACAACCGTGTGAACTGAGCTGTGGCTGTTCTCGGCAGTTACCAGTGTGAGACTCCCAAGACCTTTGAGAGGTCCATGCAGAATCTCCAGGTGAAGGTAGAGTGGAGGTGGCACCTTCCCACAGGGGCCCCTGGGGGCAGCCACTGTGGGCTCACGTCCGCAGCCACTCCTGCTCTGTGCCTTGTCCACGGGGTGGGGCTGCACACTGGCAGAGGTGCTCCAGGCAAATCAGGCTGCCCTGCGCCAGGTGCTGGCCTGGAGGCAGCTCTCCTGGGGGAGGGCCAGAGGCTGTCCTGGTTTGGCCTTCTGGTGTGGAAAGGCCTCTAGTCCAGGAAGGAGGTCAGTGGGACAGGAGGCCGGGTCTGGCTGGAGCAGGTGACGTATCTGGGGCCTCTCGGCCTCACTTTGTCCTGGCCACAGAGTGACTAGTCAGGGGTGGCTCTCTGGCACCCTGACTGGGCAAGCAGGTATCTGTGGGGACTTGGGGCTGGTTCAGCTGAGCCCTCTGGGGGCACAGAGGCAGTAGGCTGTTGACAGTGAGTCCTGGAGCTGGACCAGAAGGGACTGGGCCCCTCTTTTGCAGATCAAGGCAAAAGAGCAGCAGGCTGTGGAGGCCAAGCCCCCACTGAAGAAGGCGAGGGCCAACCAGAGGCTCCTGGGACCACAGGTTCAAAAGGTGAGTGTCCTGACAGCCCAGCTCATCGAGTGGGGGGGTTGGTCATGAATATCAGCTTTTCCCTTTATTAATTCTCATTTTCTTTCCAGTTATTACTGTGATTTAAAAAAATACAAAGTATAAATTTCCTTCATGAGTGATGGGGTTACATTCCAACCCTTCATAAGTTTAAAATCTCTTCAGTCAAAATTGCATTTAATACAGCTGACCTGCCAAATGCCACAGCTTAGCCTGGCCTCCTTTAAACTGCTCAGAACACTCACGTCAGCTCACCATTCAGCAAAATCCTTGTAATGTATTGAACACTGTACTGAAAGTGAAAAACAGTGGTTGTATGGGGACAGATGGCTGCATGGGGACGGATGGCTGCACGGGGACAGGTGGTTGTCAGTGTGTTGGTGCTGACCCTCGTGACTGTGTGACTGCCTGGAAGCTGTGCTTGCTCCCCACCCAGCATCAGAGAGGATCACACTGTGTGTCACTGCTGGAAAGGGATCCAAATTCAAAACTGCAAGTAGTTTCCACCGAATGCATTTAGCTTTCATACCATCATAAAGTTGAAAAATCTTAATTCAGACCATCATATGTTGGGGACTGTCTGCATATTATTTGTGCACAAAGGGGAGGCAGTACACGAGTGTCTGAGAAAGGTGGCCTGGTCTAGTGGGCAGAGGCTTTGCAGCCTTGTGCTCCCTGTCCCTGAGCTCCCGGGCCACTGGAGCGCTTCCTTTTAGAGGCTGGGTTGAGATGTGTGTTGGTGACATTGAGCTCACTGGCTTCACGGGCAGTGAGAGGTTTGTACATTCACAGAGCTGTGCTGCCCTTAGCCATTGCCTTCTGGACATTTCCACCAGCTCAGAAACCAACCGGGTTCTGAGGGCCCCTTGGTTTGTGGGCTCATGCGTCTGGACGGGGCCCTTGGTTTGTGGGCTCATGTGTCTGCCTGCCTTTTCTCTGTCCTGGAGGCTCACTGGAGCTGTGGCCCATGTCGGCTTCCTGCCTTTCTGCTGCTCGACCTCCCCAATGTGGACAGACCTTGTTTTGTTGATCCATGCGTTTCCACTTCGTGGCTTTTGTGAGTAAAGCTGCTGTGAACACGCGGGTGAGTCTGTGTGTTCAGTTCTCATGGCCACACACCTAGGAGTGGAACTGCCGGGTCACCTGGTAGGTAACATTTTAAGAAAGCGCCAGGCTGACTGCACCATGGCTGCCCCCGTCGCCAGCAGCTCTCAACCTGAAGAAACTCAGAGCCTTGGCCCTGTTGGAGGGGGACCAGGAGGCTCAAGCTGAATATGCATGCATATCCACAGGGTGACCCTGCAGGTCTGTCTCCTCTCCTGGAACTATGAGATCCATGCCAGACCTTCTTCTGTTTACACATCTCTTTACATTTTCTGTCTGTGTCTGTGTCCTTGGCCTGGGGAGTATGCCGGATGCCTTTGGGCATGTCTCCCACTATACCCAAGTTTCCTGCAGCCCTGCCTCATCTGCTATTTAACCTGGGCATTTGGGGTTCTATGTCAGTAACTATATATTTCATTTCTAACAGTTGTTTAAAAACTCTCCTCCTCATGCCCAATGGTCTCGCTCTCTCGTGCCTAGAGCCAGACCTTCTTCTGTTTACACATCTCTTTACATTTTCTGTCTGTGTCTGTGTCCTTGGCCTGGGGAGTATGCCGGATGCCTTTGGGCATGTCTCCCACTATACCCAAGTTTCCTGCAGCCCTGCCTCATCTGCTATTTAACCTGGGCATTTGGGGTTCTATGTCAGTAACTATATATTTCATTTCTAACAGTTGTTTAAAAACTCTCCTCCTCATGCCCAATGGTCTCGCTCTCTCGTGCCTAGTGCTGTCTGAACGCCACACTGGACCACCTGCTGCATCGGCCAGCAGTTCGGCAGCTGTCCTTTGTGGTGGTGTTTTCTGGGCTCTCATTGAACTGGGCCTGTGTTCCTGCTTCTGTAAGATAATCGTTGCAGTTCATGAGCAGCAAGCAGCAACTGCTCTGCTCTACCGGGAGGCACGGAGATCCCGGGGCCCTTCCGCCTGAGGTCTTGGTGCAGCATGGGAGTCCCGGACTGTCCCCACCTCACCACTGGCCCCAGTCAGCAGCCCAGTCGCTGTGGCACCACTGGCTCTAAGCTTAGAGGACGCTGCCCTTACAGGCTGCAGCCTCTAGCCTAAGTGCACATCTTAAACAGGTGACATCCAGAGCCCTAGAACTGCTGCCTTGGGGTCCCTGCCAGCTGCAGGGCCCAGAATAACTCACTGTTGGTAGTTAAACTACAGCAGACAACTGCTATTGCACAGCACCAAACCGTGGCCAGCTGGGACAGATGTGGCACGTGACTCAGGGCCACTGACTGCTCAGCCCTGCCCTGGTCACCATGAGCTCTCAAAGACCTGAGGTCACCTCACCTGACTCGTGCCGCAGAGCCATGTGACATGCACCAAGACGCTTCCCCAACCGACACAGCTCTTCTTCCTATCTGGCAAGTGACATGCACACAGACGTAGAGCGCCACCCCACTGGGACGTGAAACGAGATCATAAAGGGCACAGCCACTCAGACTGTTATTTTATATTAGTTTTTGTCTTCTGTCTCCAGCCACAGATCACAAGGTCCCATAGCACATTTCTTACACTCTCACATTCCCCTGGTGCACTCTGACCTGTGCTTTGTACACAGCGAATCTGCCCGCTGACTAAGTCTTTTGGGAGCCATCCCGGACACGCCTTCCGGGGAGCACAGCCTGCCTCCGCCAGCCCCAGGCCTCCTGTGCTCCTCGCCTGTATCCCCTCCTATCGTGACTTCCACTGGGCACTGCTTACTCAGCTGTCGCCTCTCACCTGCAGAGCCCTTGGGCGCAGACGGATGGTGGCCATGTTCCCAAAAGGACTGCCATTGAGCTGGGACAGCTCAGTGCTCAAGGATGGTTCGTTCAAAGTACAAATACCTCAGACTTCCCGCTTGTACTACCGTCACGAGGCTGAATTCCGCACGCTGTGTGCTCTGAGGTGGCGTGAAGACAAGTGGATCAGTGTCCCCCCCCGCCCAGCCAAGCCTGTGCTGCCTCTGCGCCTGCCTTTCACAGCGCCCCCCGTATTTACTTCCTCTCTGGTGCAGTGCCTCTTCTGTGTCGGCTGTACTAACACGTTCTGGCTACAAGGAGCTACACTTTGGTGGGGAGGCACAGACACAAAGTACAGCTTTGATACAAGGTAGGCAGTGACTCTTGCCTTTAGGAAGTTCTACGGGAATGAACCAGAACCACTGGTATGTGGATCAATCTCAGCAACATCAAGCAGAGGGAAGGAGGTCAGACACGCAAGAGTGCAGTGTGTCATACTGTTGTACTTACGTAAGGTTCTAGAACAAGCCAAACTATAGTGATGGACACAAGGTCATAAGCAGCCCGCGGATGAGGGCTGACTGGAAGGGACACAGGACTTTCCAAGTGCTGGGAATCCTCTACTTTGATAGAGTGGTGGTTATAAAGGTCCAAACAGGTTATGTCTGTCAGAACTCATAAAACCCATACTTAACATCTATGCATTTTACCACATGCAAGTTATATGTCAGGAAAAAAGTACTATGCAATTAACCTGGACATGTGTGCCACCATCAGAGCTACCGGCTTCCCGTCTAAGAAGCTTGCCTTCCCCAGGACTCCTGTCTCCTCTGACTGCTGGGCAGGGCGGCACAAACACTGGGGACGTCCACGCAGGCAGAAAGCTGAACCTCCAGGGTTCACACTCGCCCGCAGGCTCACTCATCGCCGTGAACCCGCCGGTGCTGAATCAGATGAAAGCTCAGGCGGAAGGCTCGGCTGCACTTGCTGCAGTGGAAAGGCTTCTCCCCGGTGTGGACCCTCTGGTGCCGGAAGAAGCCTGACAGCGCCCGGAAGGCGCGGCCGCAGTGGCCGCACTGGTGGGGCTTCTCGCCTGTGTGGATGCGCCGGTGCTCCCTCAGGAAGGAGCTGCGGCTGAAGGCGCGGCCGCATTCGCCGCATGCATAGGGCCGCTCGCCCGTGTGGACCCGCTGGTGCTGGATGAGGTTGGAGCTCTGGCTGAAGGCCTTGCCGCACTCCCCACACACGTAGGGATTCTCCCCGTGGTGGGTCCTCCGGTGCCGAACAACATTGGAGCTGTGGACGAAGGCCTTCCCACACTCCCCGCACCCATACAGCCTCTCCCCGGTGTGCACCCGCTGGTGCTTGGCAGCATCCGACCTCTGGCTGAAGGCCTTGCCGCACTCGGTGCACGCGTACGGTTTCTCTCCTGTGTGCGTCCTCTGGTGTCTGACGAGGTTGAAGCTCTGGCTGAAGGCCTTCCCACACTCCCCGCACACGTACGGCCTCTCCCCGTGGTGAGTCCGCTGGTGCCTGACGACGTGCGAGCTGTGGATGAAGGCCTTCCCACAGTCGCTGCATTCGTAGGGCTTCCCCCCCGAGTGCATGCTCTGGTGTTTCACCACATCTGAGTAGCACTTGAAGCTCCTGTCGCAGCTGCTGCACTGGTAAGGCCGCCCTTTCCAGGGCACCCCCCGGTCTGCTAGGGAGCCGCTGTGCAGGGTGGCCTCTGACCCGCACACAGGGTGCTCCCGGACCCCCTGCCCTCCAGTTTCCTTGTAAATTACTGGTCCCCGAGGGGAAACCCTGGGCTTCTCTCTAGTGTCCTCAGTCCCACGACGGTCCAGAAGTCCCCGTGCCTGGGGCAGCCCTGGTGCACACTCCCCACTGCACCCCACTTCTGAAGTCTCCTGCTCTGGTGCTGACCCTGTGCTCCGAGCCCCACATTTGGCGGCTGGAGCTGCACTGCCGGAAGCCTGGCCACCATCTGGCACCTGTGCTGAGGAAGCTGGAAGGGAAGAATCAGAGACGTGCCACGAGGCATAAGAAACCCAGCTGAACAGGCCACAGTGGCATGTGAGCCCGAGTGGGGCTCAGCCATCTGCAGGAATGACAGAAACAACAGCAACGTGGTGGTGGACACCTGCCATTTGCCCGTCCAGTTCCCGCATCGCTTCCTCTCACTCCCTCACATCTGGGGTTGTGGGAACGGGCAGGGCTGGGAAAGGGCTCTCAGTGCCCCCTGGGGCTCCAGGGGGGCTCTCCTGCTTCTGTCTGCCCTCCCTGGGGCGCAGAGACAGGAGCCTGGCTGCACGTGCTCCCTTGTGCTGCCATCATGGCCTAGAAAGCAAAGTGGAATAAACTGGGACAGAGGCACTAGGAAGCACCCGACCTGGTCCCAGATTCCTGCTCCCACCCTAGACTCCCCAGGATAACCCCCTCAGCCCATCACACTGACAGAGCCTCTGCCCTGTGCAGGAGAATCCTTTCTCAGACAGAAATCAGTACCCAGAGAGCGCAGCAGTGACAGGATGGAGTCCTGGCCAGGCCAAGAGCCCCCAGCCCCTGCTGCCTGGCTGTGAAGCAGTAAGGCAGCTCCTGAAGCCAGGCCCTGCTGGCTCGCTCACACAAGAGCTGCGTCTACTGGGGTGTCACAATGCCAGGTACTTACTGCAGCCCACAGGGTGGCGGGTGCTGCAGGGAGCAGCTGGGGAGGTGACTCAGCAGGGCAGGGCCCCCAGAAAGTACATCAGCCGAGTTAAGTGAAGCCTTTGTGCCCACAGGCCATAACCTAAGCAGCTGAATGGCAGCCGTGAATTCTCAGCTGTGGCCTCCCAGTACTTTGACTGCTGATGCAACAGGTACCCACGTGGGCCATGCTGAGGATGATGCTACTCCGGGGCAGGTACTGCCCACAGCATTCCACTGATTCCCTACCAGGAGCTGTGGGACTGAGCCATGGCCGGCGGGAGGGGGTCCAGGCAGGGCGCTAAGAAACAGGCCCTCTGGGGGCCCAGCCGTAGGCTTGTGGTTTGGCAGACATGGAAGTTCAAGAAAGCGACTCATGGGTACTGGATATGAAGAAGAGCCATTCACGACAGGAGGACGAGGTCACATGTGCTTTCTAGTCCCCTGGTCAGCCACAGGTCCTGTGAGCTGCTTGCCTCCCAGGGCAATCCCCAGGCACAGCGGCAACCCCTGGGGTCGTCCCAGTGAAAACTTCTCAGGGAACCCCGAAGAGCTGCAAACAAGGGGTGCTTGTTCTCTACTGCTCTGTCTGCAAGCATCTGTTGTCATACCTAGAAGGGCTGCTCCCAGCGCCCAGCAGGTGGAGGCCAGGCAACTGCTCACTGCCTGCAGTGCCCAGGACAACCCACACAGGATCCTCCCATCTTGATGCCCACAGTGCCAAGGCTGAGAGGCCTTCTACCCAAGACCTCAGTTCCATGTCAGTGCTGCTGGCCATCCAGCAACACTGTGAGCTCCACAGGTCACCACTGACCTCGCTCTCACCATTCCTACCTCCAGGCCATTCATCTCATGGAAGGAGGTGGGTGGTTTGATTGTGAGTAACCTGTTTCTTTTTTTCCACTTTGCATGTGTTGATGTTTGCTAAAATCATTTAGTCCAAAGTTGCAGGATAGTGAGGAACCCCACATAGAACAGATCTGGCCAGACAATGTAGGAGGCCCAACCTGGGAGTCCCGGGCTTAAGGGCAGCACCATGACAGGATGAGGTTATGCGTGGACACAGGGTAGCTGAGTCACGTGACACAGGGGTTCTCTGACTTCCAGGGAGAAGAGATGACAGGTGTGCTGGGAGTGTGTGTGCAGGTATGTTCTGGGCAGCCATGGTTATATTTTACGCAGGCTCCCAATACTAGACAAGAAACATCACAATATGACCGTGAAAAGGCTTGCGTCGGCCCTCATTTCCTTGCTAAAATAAGATGGCGTTGCTGTCTGCACTGACGGCACTGCACTGTCATAACAGAAACAACAAGGGTCAGCTTGGACACCCCTCAGGCGTGGCTTTAAATCCTCACAAAGGAGGGGCCTGGAGCCTAAAGAGGAGCTGACAGCCAGGAGGCCAGCCAACTCTGAACCCATGCCAGCCACCACTGCTGGGCCCTGGGGAACCAATGCCAAGAATGAATATTCTCATTCTCAGAAGTCTCCAGGTGGAGGCCACACAGAGAGAGTGCCGCGTGCAGGAGCACAGAGGAATGACAGACAGTGTGGGAAAGGAAGCAGGCAGGCGAGGCTGCCCGGCCCAGCCACAGTCCCTTGGTGGCTGGGCGCCCAGACCCAGGGAGCCCCACTTCCTAGGCTGTTTTCACCTGCCTGACCCTGCGGGGCCTCTCCCAGGTCCTGTAAGCCTGGTGCTCACCTGGGCATGCATCCATCAGGGCAGCTCTCTCTGTGGCGTCCTGGGGACTCAGGCCCGGGGGTCCTCCTTGCTGAAACCCTGCAGAAACACCAGGAGGGGACACCTTGGGTAAAAGAGAAGAAAAGGGGGGAGGATGGCAGGGAGGCTGGAGGTGAGGTCAGAATGCCTTTAGAGGAGAGGGTCAGGGCTGCCCCTGGGGGACACTGAAGGAGCCATGTCACCTACTGACCTTGTTTGTCACTAGAGATGAAGGTCCTGACTAAACAGACGCCCAGAAGCAGTATTCTGGGAACTTGGGGCCGTGCTTACTGCTTTCCCTCTGCCCCGCAGACTCACAGCAAAGCTGGGTGGGGCAGCACCTGCCAGCTGCCTGCTGTGGTCTCGCCTGCGATGGGCAAGCCCGGCACCTTCAATCAGTCCCCAATGTCTGCAGAAAGATCTATGGATTTTAAAGTTTTCTTAATAATTATCAAGATTTGAATATAAAAGTAAGAACCCCCCCCCAAAATAAGAAAAAATTATTTGAATGGCGCAACTTTGGATTGAGGAGTGATTTTGCTAAGCTTAACACCAAAGGTAAAGTCTGAGAGATTTAACTACATAAAATTTAGTACAAAACACAAGCAGATAAGGGAAGTGGGACTGTCTGCAATATAAATATTCACGTCCTTAATATCTGAAGATCAGTGGGTACTAATGGGGAAGCATGAAAAATGGGTAAGTCACATACGGGCAACCTGCAAAAGCAAGCAGGTGGCCAATGCACTTTAAGTATCAGCCCCACATTTGTCCCACTCCACTGCAGCTAAACGTAATAAAAAAATTTTTTTTTTACTCTACAAGTAGAAAATACTTAAAAACGGTAGCCCCTTATGAGCAAGATGAGGGGACAGGTACTCACACAGCTGGAAGGAGGATGAACACCACTAGGCTGGCAGCGAATGCCGCAATGCAGGGAGGCCTCAAGAGTCGGACTAGGATTGCACTTGGGAAATCTATCCGACACTGAATCAGGGATGTTTGCAGATTTTACCTACTGGATATTTCACATCCTACTTGTTTATAGAAGAAACCTTGGAAATCTAATTTCAAGTAAAGAACAGGGAAGGTTAACAAATGCCAGCAGCTGGGAATGACGTGACACCTGGTAGCTGTCACAGTGGCACGTGTGGGCCTGTCCCGGGGCGTCACACTGGCCAGGAGGAGGGAACCCTGTCCCAGGGTGTCACACTGGGCGGGGTGGGGTTGCTGTCCACAGGCTGTGGTCGTCTTTCCCAAACCCAGGGAGCGCCCAGGACCACCCCGCGAGCCCCACTTACCTACCACCACACCGCCGCCGGAAGCACCGCCCCCCACGTCCGCTGCGCGCACTTCCGGTCGACGCTCTAGGCCGTCGGAGGACTGTGTGCTCAATTGCCCTGGAGGCCGGCCCCCACCCCCATCCCCTCCGGCCTATCCGCAATGCGGTTCCCTGTCGCGGCAGTGCGGTGCCACCGCCCCCAGGGGCCTCCTAGCCATCCCCGCCTGGACTCCATCGCCTCCAGCCAGCTCCAGGGATGAGGTTAGGAGAGTCAGTGGGTTCGGTGGCCGAGCTGACTGGGGAACGAATGGAGGCAGGCAGCGGTGCCAGTGGAGAAGGGGGCGCGCCATGGGGTAAGGAGGCAGGCCCAGGTAAGGGACAGCGGGGGTCAGGGTCAGGAAGCTTCCCCTTGGAGGAGAGCTAGAGAAAACCGGCCCCAGGCCGGGCCTGGCCACTGGTCCCCAGCATGTGGATCCCCCTTCACAAGCTTAAGGCAGCGAAGAAATCCCCTCTCCTGGCCCCCCTTAAGGCACTTTCTCCTCTCAGCTTCTGGGACAACCCCACTTCACGTTTCCCTGGCCACTGATGCACGGTGACCACACCCTTAGGGGTTTGAAGCAAGCTGGGATTATGATCTCGTGGTTCCTTTGGGCCTTGAGCCTGGGCACAACCTGGACTGGTCCTGTTCTTAGGGTCTCCCTTGGGTCGCAGCCAGGGTGTCTGCTGGTCTCCCCGGAGGGCTCAATGGGGAAGCATCTGCTCCCAAAGTCCCATGGTTGTCAGCAGGGTTTGGCCCCTAAGGATGGGAGTCCTGTGGTTTGGACATGTGGGTTGGGGTACGGGTGCTCCTACAGGCGGAGTCCTTGGGCTTCTCCACAGATGGGTGCTCTCATGTTTATCACTGCTGAGAAACCTTTGCAGCACCTGCCAGACACATGCCATGGGGCTGGGCTAAGGGGCATGTCCCCAGCCCCAACTCAGTTGCCCCTCCATGTCCTAGGCATTCTCCTGTCAATGAGAAGTCCCTCCTCAACCACCTCATTCTAATGTGCTTCCAGAAGCCCTAGAGCCCAGAGAGCCCCTGCTCTCTGACAATGTCTCTTTGTAAGAGCTCCTTCTAGAAAGCCTTTCTCTGGTGTTCCCCCCGTTCTCAGCCCACTCACCAAACAGAGCTTTTCCCCAGCAGGCCCAGGGTTACCTGAAGGGCCTGCTCTTCACTTCTGCTGGGGGGCCCTCCTCTCATGCGTCCTGGTCACAGTGCTCCTTCCTTCTGGGGGTGCTTTTCTCTCGATATGCCCCTAGATCACTCTGGAACCCTCCCTATTGCCACCCCCCAGGATGGGCCTGTGACCAGTCTCTCTAGGGGTTTTCACAGAAAAACTGGGGAGGTTCCTGTCCTCTGCAGTCCTGGGCTAAGATGGCTGTAGACCCGGGGAAGGCCAGTCAGCAGCTGGAGCCCGAGGCCACGTGAGGCCCTGCAGAGATGAGAGGTGGAGTGATGACAAGAGACAACGCCTGGACTCCTTGGGTTCCCTTGGTCCTTCCAGGTCCGCCTGCTGCCCACACGGTGCTGAGGATCCACTCAACTTCAGGAGCTCAGGCCCCAGGCCTCAGAGAGCCAGCAAGTGTCCAGACTCGCTGGGAAGCTTCTGGGGACCAGACAGGCTGGGCAGGCGGTAAGGGGAGGAGGCCCAACTCCTAGTGACTGGCCATGGCCCTAACCATGCTCATGGTCTGTCTGTCCCTCCAAGAATTCAGTCCTCATGAGTGTTGCAGAGAGCAGAAGCCCCAGCTACACCCACCTTCGATAGCCCCTTCCTGGGTCAATCACCATGAGATCTGGGTCTCCAGAGGAGGGAGCTAGCCACAGGAAAGGGGGGCCGACACCCAGCACTCTGGCAGGATAAGCCAGGTCACACCGCGCTAATAGGCAAGCACCAAATCCCCTTGGCTGGAAATACAGAAGCCCATGTTCACTGCTGGCTGCTGGGCTGTCACCCCTGGGCCTCCCTCATTCAGGGCCAGGTGGACAGAGCATCACTGGAACACCGCTGGCTCTGCCAGGTTCCCATTACTGCCCAAGAGCAAGTCTTCGGCATGGCGGGGCTCATGAGAACTGGGGTGTACGGTTCTGCTACAGTTTGGGGGAGGAGTTGGGAGAGCAAGGCCACAGAGGTGGTCAGCCCAGGGCCGGAAGGAATGGGGCCCCGGCAGTTTGAAACCCCTCATCGCCAGAACAGACCAGAAATAGCTTCAGAATGAAGAGGGATGGGCAGAATGCAGACCACAGCCTTCAGGTCCCCCAGTGGGTGAAGGGTGGCTGAGTGCACCATGTGCGCCCTGCTCACAGGACAGGGCAGCCCTCCCCCAGGGCAGAGGGCTGCAGCCCCAGGCCCCGGGCCCCCCTGGGGCCTCTCCCACAATCCCAGAGTGTGCACCTGCCAGCCCACCCGCCACTTCTTGCGTCATCTTTTTCACTGCCAGCTGTGTCAGTAAACACTTTGGGGCACATGCCTGCCTCATACTGAATTATTTGCAACAAATCATAAAAATTACAAAACATTCCTAAAAATTAAAGCATTTAAAGAATAAAAATCGGGGTTTTCCTCCGCATCTCAGGGGAACAGTGCAGGTATTCTGGGAGGGCTGCTCTTCCCCAGGCAACATTCCCAGCACCCAGGCCTGACCTCGCGCTGCCCAGCCGCTGCCCCCTGCCCCAAGCCCCGGCTCGCAGGTGCGGTACCTTCAGCCATTCCTGTAAATGGACAAAATGGACGAGAATGCATCTGGGATTAAGAGCCAGGGGCCCGAGCACACTATTTTTGGAGAGGGTCAGTTACCACCTATTAACCTTTTTAAAAAGTAACCCTTTACAAATGTAAGACCAACGCACACGGATGGCTGTCCACCATCAGGCCGCAGGTGCTGGTTGGGACTCGTACCGGCTGCCCTGCGTCCTTCGTTTCCCTGTGTGTCCTCTCACAGCAAGGTCGTTAGGCCCCCCCAAGGAGGGGAGGGGCGCGAAGGCTGGACAGGGTCGGGGTGGGCGGCGCGCAGGCAGCCTGACCGGGGACACCGCGAGCCGGAGCTCAGGGTGCGCAGCGGAACGGCCCTCCCGGCCAGGGGCGTAAGAAGCCCCGCACGGCCCTGAAGGCCTGGCGCATCCGCACCTGCGAAGGGCCTCTCGCCAGGGCGGATCCTCTGGTGGTGCCTCAGCACATCCGACCTGCGGCCAGAAGCGCCCCGGTGCTGGCTGGCATCCCCCCAGTCCGCGCTCCCAGGCCTCGGCGCCCGCTGCCCGGGCAGAGCGCTCACTGGCCCAGCTGGGCCTCCCCACACCTGCTGGGTGCTGAGGGGCCCTCCAGCCTGTCCCAGCGATGGGGCTCCTGCCTGCTCACTCCTCCTGGTGGGTCACCAGGCTCATGGTGGCGCTGGCTTTGCTTCTGGGCTCGTGTTGATGGCCCATCTCCTCCCTGGGACGGGCCTGGTCCTGGGTGGCAGTCTGGCCCACCCTCGGGAACCACCACCGCTTCTGCACGACCAGCAAGTTCCCAGGCTTTGCCCCAGGACCCCCTGGGCTCCACCTCCTCCAGGGTTTGTGCCCACTCATCTGCTCCTCCTCATTCTGGGTTCCATCCTCAAGGTCTGAAACCAGAAAGGGGCAGCAGAGGTCACCAGACTCTGAACCAGAGAATGAACCTCCAGATAAGGCACCATCATCTCATTTAAATCTGGGAAAGGGCACTAGGGAGTTAGGACATCTGTCCAGGATGGGAAAGGGCACCGATGGGATTGAGGCCAGGGCGGTGGGGCGGCAGCTGCCACACGGGAAAAGGGATGGAGGCGTGGACCCGGAACATCCCAACTCCCACACACGTCACTGCCACTGTGACACTGTGGAGTCCGTCCGGCCTCAGACACCTCCCGCAGGGGACAGGAACCAATGGGGACCGCAGGGTGTGCGCATCCCCTGCCAGGCTGTTGTGACCGTCCCAAGGTGGAAGGTGTGGAGCGCCGTCCAAGACGAGGCCTCAGAGCTGTTGTGGGGAGACAAGCCTGCTGCCCTCATGACTGCACTGCCCGCCTCTGGGCTGCTGGCCAGAGCACTCCGCAGCCTGTGTGCAGACCGAAGATGGACCTGCAGCCGCGGGTATGGATGTCTGCCTCTTGCCCCCTGTGCTGAGGTGACAAAGCTTCATCCTTGACATTACCTGCAGTCCGCCTGTTTTTCCTAAAAATAGGGCAGGTCTGGGCAAGTTGAGTAGAGGCTTTGTCCCTCCTTTCCCTCAAACTACACTGAAAAGACAAACAGCTCGTAAGGAATGGACTGCAGAGCAGCATAGCCCCGGGAGGCCTCACCCCGGCAGCACTAGGCTGAGCAGCCCATGGACAGGGCACTGGCCTGGAGCTGCGGGCCTCTGCAGGGGTTGCACACAGCTGTGGGAGGGCCAAGGGGGCCACCACAGACCCACCCTGACATGGGCAGGCAGGGGTAGTGCCTGGGGCCTTAGGGAGACCTCCCAAGGTGGGGAATGGGTAAGGCGTCTCAGCTTCAAGGCCAGGTGCCTCTAGGAGAGGTGCCCCAAGCAAGGAATACGGCAGAGCTGGTGACAGGACAGTGGGCTCAAGTCAGGGTGAGCCTGGCCTAGCCCCCCCATCCCTCTGCTGTTTTCCCACAGGGCAGGCCCCGAGCATCTCAGGAGGCCCTGGGATGACTTCTAGAATTCCAGTGAGGACATTACAAATGGAATCACTAAAAAGAAGGAAAGAGCTCAGAGAAAGGTTCCAGTGTCACAGATGAGGTCATAAATCTGCAGAGCGCAGAAGGAATGGAAGGAAAGGCATCTCCATCCCCTGGTGGGACGAGCAGAAGCAGGGGACAGTCAGTAGCTCCCAGGAGCTGAGGGGTCAGCCCCACAGCCCCAGGGACCTGAGTCCCACCTCCAGCCTAAATGGGCCTGGCCAAGGACCCTGGGCTCCAAGTGAGGACATGGCTGGGCCGACACTTGAACAGCAGCCGGTGAGGCCTGGACTCCTGACCCCCAGGGTCTGAGAGATAGCAAAAGGGATGTCTGAGAGAGGATTCCCAGTGAGACACCTGGTGGCCCTAGAAAATCGACTTTGATGAGGGGAAGTCACCGCACATGGAGACTCAGCAGACACTTAGGCCAGTCCTGAGGGGCATGTCAGGGCTGTGGGGTCAGGGAACCGCCCCCCACCCCCAGGACCTGCTCCTGCTGTGCTGGGTGCTCAGGACACAGAGATATCAGGGCATCACAGTGCCTGTCCTTGGGGGCTCACAAAAGAGGGCAGGGACATGGAAGACATGCTGTCATGGCGCAGCAGGTGCCAGGCAGCGGTGCGCATAGGGTCACTTCAGGAGCAGAGACAAGTGAGCAGCTGACTCCTTCAAGAGTGAGGCCTCTGCAGGTGCCTGCAGAGCTGGGGATGAAGCTTGAGGAGGGAGGGAAGGTAGCACGGTGAGGGCGAAGGGAAAGGAGAGGGCACAGGGCCCTGCCGCTGATTCCCCGGAGCCCCCCCGAGGACCCCAGCTAAGAAGAGCTGGGACCTGAGAGGTCTGGGAGGGAAAAGTGACTGAGACAGACAATCTTGAGAAGCAAAAGTGGGATCAAAGCAACGATGTTCATGTTGAGAAACTATGTGAATTTTTAGTCATCTTTAAAGTACAAGTTAGAATAATTTGCTAGGATTTCATTGTACACTATTTCTTGTCAACTCTTCCTTAAAAGTTTTCGTAAAAAGCAAACAAGGCTAAAGAGCAACAGCACAGGGACAGGGGAGCAACGGAGACACAGGGCAGGGCCAGAAAGGCAGGCTCTCTCCTACCGGTCTCCTGAAGAAGAGGCCTGGATTGGGGACCATGAATGGCGCGGGGACTGTGGCAGTGAGCCAGTAGCCCCCTGCCCCACGTGTGTGGGTCTCAAACTCACTGCGCTGAGCAAAGGAAGCCAGACCCAAGGCAGTGCATATGCTACAACTCCATTTCTCCAAAGTCACACAGTGGTGGCACCACGCAGAAGCTAGAGGGGTGGTCCCATTGGGGTGACTGGAGGGGAGTTCTGCAAAGTCCTACATGTTCACCTGGGTGGGTTTACGAGATGTACAAAGTCAAATAGTACACTTAACGTGTGGGAATTTCAAAGATGTTAAGCTACACCCTAATGAAACATTTAAAAACACCACCACCATATCCCAGGAAAAATCATGTAATGTGTCAACAGCAGCATGCATCCTGGTGAAGCTATGCAAGTTAGGGGATAAGGGAAGACGGGATGGGTTCCTGCATGGTGAGCACATAGCACATGCTCAGCGAAGGCGTGAAAGGCAAAACCCCCAACCACAAACAGAGGGGGATCCTGAGAACTTCACATGCCCCCAAGCTGTTCTTCAAGAGTGAGGGTGATGGAGAGTGTCCCCGTGCTTTTTAATTTTTTTAAATTTTGGTATCATTAATCTACAATTACATGAAGAACATTATGTTTACTAGGCTCCCCCCTTCACCACGTCCCCCCCACATACCCATTCACAGTCACTGTCCATCAGTGTAGTAAGATGCTGTAAGATCACTACTTGTCTTCTCTGTGTTGCACAGCCCTCCCCGTGCCCTCCCCCACATTATACATCCTAATCCTAAGGCCCCCTTTCTTTTCCCCCCACCCTTATCCCTCCCTTCCCA